CCTTCGCGTAGACTTCCTCAATAATCAACGTCTCAACATCACAGAATGACCGCCATTCGGTTTGTTCAATATTTGGTCATGAATTAGCGTTAGCTATCCATATTCATACAATGGGTTGTTAACAAAAAGAGCTCAACGTGTGAGACATGTAGTTAATGTGTGTATGCAAGTATTCACGTGTAGTGAACAATGATGTTATATCATCAAAAATATGGAATATACCAATTTGCGCACATGATTATTCTAGAATTTCTCTAATCACTGTCACATTTATACTCCTGTTATAGGATTACACTTGAAGAAGTTTTTAAATAAAACGAAATTCGGGGAAATTTTTTAAGCTAACAATAGATTCTACAGCTTTATGTATGGCTCATCGTCGCTTATGACATATTGCTGACGATGAAGTCATTTGATCATGATGGAAGAACGAAGGGTGTTGGTGTGAGTGTGGAGCGGTTGAACAGAAGTTTTATACTTACACTCCACAACCACACACCAACACTAGCACCACATCCCATACTCACACCCACAATAAAATGATGTATCTGTTTGATCAGGTAATATGGAATTTTGTTGATTTCTAAGGAAATGTTCTTATAAAAATGTCTTCAGAATGACCGAATATTTTCATGCATTTTTTAATGTTTTTGCGGAAATCATTAGTTGCAAAATAATTTTGTCGTATATGTTATTGGAGAAAAAGGGGTTCCCATGTTTTATCTTTCTATTGCTGAAAACCAAATATCGCCAGCTGCTTGAATTCTTGACTTATTCAACTTTTCATCGAGTATCTTTAAGTCTTGAGCCGACACTAATTGAAGTGAAATTTTTTTTTCTCGTTCTCTCTAAATGAATATGGTTAGTATATCAGATTGATCAAAGAAGCAATATAGTCCCAAAAACGTCGAACATTAATATTTTTCATAATTTTGCTTTACTCGTTCAAAAGTAGTAAATTCTGTTACAAAGAATACTCGTCCCTAGGAGATCTTGAGGGCATAGATATAAATCTTCTCTTTACCCACACACCCGACATCCTTCTATTTATTTTATATAGACTGCCCGTTTTAGGAACATTTTTTTCGGTTGCTATTCGAATTAGTAATGTTTTCTGTACTTAGTATACTCACTGTTAGCTACCCGATTAACTTGTTCCATAGCCTGATTCATTGTATTTCAAAAACATCCTGCCAACTCTTTCTATTATGGCATGATATGCAAATCTCTATCCAATATATGTATTCCTCTATGTTTGTACTTTTTATCTTTGATAAAATTCCACCCATCAATCATAGTGGATAATAAAGAATAACAACTTTTTCTTCGTGCGGCAAGACGATGTGTCTGGTGATTGACAACAACAATAAATATCTTCAGAATACAGAGCCTCGCAAATATTTTTGTTCCCTAATCTATGCCACGACAGAGTGAAAAAATTGTGCTATAGACACTATTGCGGATAATGTCAACTGGTCCCGATGACGTATCCAGTTGTGTCTACATATCATAAAATATATAATCTCATTTGTAAGATAGAAAAAGAAAATAAGACAAGAAGAAGTAAAAGAGATCATCAGCTCGATTAATAGTCAATATTCGCTTGTCTACTACAATTAGTTCAATGATGCAGCATATTTCACAAATGTTCTTCTTCTTCATTCTGGTCTGCTTGTTCGTCTCTGTTATCACACGTGATGATGATAATCGAGGTGAATATTTTGCTTGTCAATCTGTCTTACGAGTGACCTCATTACGACATTCAGACACATGCAACATATGTAATGGACATGATTTGCTACGAAAAGCCGGAGAGGATCGTCGTCTTGTCGTACGTGTCGATCATAAAAATGATGAGATCTTAATAATTGTGTTCGGAACCAAGGCTTCTTCGAAGAAAACCACTCACGCGAGTGTGACAGTAACTACTGATATCAAAAATGATTTTGAATTGATCCGGTCTACGCTCTCCGTTGGAAATCTTCCTTTTGTCTCTATCGAATTACTTAAAGCATGGCTTCCTTCAATTATCAATGTTGATTTCAAACCACTCGTCAACTATATTAATTCAACACTATTTATTCATGATAATTCATCTTCGCTAGAGATCCAACAATGTGTTGGCACATATAAATACGCCATAAATAAGAAACCACTTAAGACAAATACTCACTGTTCTTCAACATGGTCTAAACGGCAGTCTTTTTCATTACACGAAGTTACTAATATTCCATTGAATCGTATAATCACAAGTCCGACAGAAACAAGGAAAATGAAAAAGAAAAAGACGAATAATAAAGTATTCCGTGTTGTTGATGTTCATCTTGGCGCCAATACATCTGTGAATCGATCGATTACTTTTACATGTAATAATCCATTTATTTGTGGTGACGCCACAACTCAAAATAAGACGGGTAGCCAGGTGCTTAATTACGTAGTAAACTTCTTAGGCAAAGAACGAAGCTCTGTTTTTCAAAAACATCGGTCAACTGATCACTTCATTTTAAACAATGCTATTAAATTAAACTTTAAGTAATCTGCCGAGAAATATGCAAAGCTCGTTCCATTTCAGCGAAGGGAATGTTTATTAGTCAAGCCATGAACGCCTCTTCAACTGTAGCTTGCTTTTTTATTATAACCAAAATTCATTCTAAATTCAAAATAAAAGGTGGATATGGGTGTGAGTCTTCTCTTCACCTACATCCACCTAATTTCAGACAAGTAATGTTGACTCACAGGTTTCTTTTTCACAAGTTCATAAGTAGCAAGTACACATTGCACTCAGGTATATATAATCGGCATATAAACCTTTAATATTGCTATATTAGAATCTTATTTTGCAAACACTTAGAGCAGAGGCGGTTCGAATCAGAGAAAAACTATTGCTAGACCGCTTGTATATCTGACGCTATGATGCGAACTGAATCGTCGACAGATCACCTTGTTTCCTGAAAGCTGTGTGTCACGATGTATTTTATCAGAACACCTACATAATGAGTTTTAGCCTTCTGTAGTAGGAAGAGAAGCTGAGTCTGTACCGATTCTTCGCAAATTTTCTTTAGGATACACGTGGATCAGAAAGTCTTCATTTATAAGATGAATGGGGAAATTGTTTCTTTTCCTTGTTGATTTCGATTTTTTAAAACTAAATTTAATTTCTAAAGGAAACATTCTCTAGAATGGTTTACAGTTGGACATGCAAGTCTTCGGAACAAGCAAACGTACATACGGCTTATCCCTGCGGTTCCAATAATTACTACGATTATTGAGCGATGCTGGGGATATGAGTCTCATATGTCTCAAAATTTGATGAGCTCCGTTGCGTCTGATTGAATCATCTTGCTAGGTGGCAGACTTTCTGTGGACTACTGTGAACAAATTCGAGTAATATCGTCTTATCGAGATCCATATATGCTTTGATTGGATACCTGATGATTCAACCCATTACATCATTATCGATCATATGTCTATTCCATCTGTTTCCACTGGTACGATCTTTCTACTATTCACAAGACGGCGTATTTTCAGACACTTTTTGACATCATTTTTTAGTTCTCAAAAAGCTCTATCCATTGTTAAAAGAACGCCGCTTTCGCATTGAAGAACCTGACGATTAAGGGCACTGTATCATTCTATCGTAGACAGAAATCTGCTGTACATAGCCTGGCAGATTATCTTATGGAATGTACTATAAAATGTTCATGAAAATCATTGATTTGAATCGAAAATAGTCGGAGTTTAAAACGGTGATATCATTCATGGTTTGAAAACATTAATGCCATCTTATACGAACGAAATAGAACTGTTGAAAAGAACAATCGAAAATGAGAAGAATTCTTCAAATAAAACTAATTTAATACAAGCTGAAAATATATTTCCTCTCGACACTAATTTGTATAACTTACCATTTGGTGGTCCAAAAATTCTCAAACACATCGAAGAATTGAAAATCAATCAAAACATGATAAAAAAAAGAGAATTTTTTTTAAAATTACCAACAAAAGCTGCATCGTTCAAATTCATGCTTTAACTAAAACAGATACTATTTAAATGAATTAAGCAGTGCTGAAAACCTCTAACTAAATAAATAATGTGTTTTTCATTTTTCTATGTTCTTTAAATATCATGTAAAGAGGATGTGGGTGTATTTTTTCCCTCAATCTGCACATCCACATCTATCATATGTTTCTTCATTTACTTAATAGGATCAATAGTGATTGTCTATAAAGGAACTGAAACCAATTTTAATTTAAACTATCACGAACACAGAATTTATATACCGATTTATTCTTTTTGATAGCTATCTTTTCTTACCATAGTCTTGCATCAGGAAGAAGAATAGAGAACCCTTCTCTTTTAAACTTCGAAAAACAGAGAAATCAGCAATAAATATTTGCAGAATCGAAGAAAACCAGAGACTTATTTTCTCTCAAATTGAAACCTTCATTACGTTTTCTCTAATCTGGAAAAAATATCTCAAACTTTCTAATATAATGAAGAAAATAACTCTCAAATTCTCTACAATTTTGAGGAAAATATCTCTGAAATTTTGTTCAATTCGGAGGAGAACCGCAGAAAATTTTCCAAAAATGTGAATTGCCCCATCAGTTTAAGAGTTCATTAATAGTCGACCTTCAGACTAACTTTTCGGACAATTTATGCTTTAAAAAAAATGTGACAGTTAGTTATTAATTTTCATTTCACAATAAATAGTACATATAAAAAACTGCGCACGCGCTAACCTATATTTAGTTGAAGTAAAAATATCTACCCTTATTGACCTTCGCAATGGTAAGAAAAACGTGACTCAAACAACATCAACATGTTGTATGCTAAATAGAGAAAGGAAAAAAAAAAAGAATATTGCGTCGACTCACAAAGAAAAGAAAAAACGCCAAGGATATTATCAACGATTCATAAAGAATCTACGCAAAACTTCGATTGCATTTTAAAAAAAAACATATAACAAAGCACACAAAAATTTTTCATTACATGAAATAATGGCTGAATCGCACAAACAGACTATTGAGCAACTTATGCAAACAATCAATGCTCATCATGTTAATCATTTGGATAAAACTCTTGATGATAATGCTGTAAAAACTGTTAATTCAAAAACTGTTTATACAAATATTCAAGAAGCTCGAGAATATTATACAATGTACCATGAAGCTAGTCCATCAGCTCGATGGGAACTTGTTAATTATCAACAAGATAATCAAAACAATAATAAAGGACAAGGAACAGTTGCTCATAATAATCATACATATAATACAACATACACGTTTAGTTCATCTGGAAAAATTCAAAAAATTGATGCTCATCTTCAATAACAAGACTAAACATATTTGACAACAGATTATTATTTATAAACATTTCTTTTTCATTTTATATGTATTCTTCATTAGATTGTTTTTTTTTTTATTTTAAGATAAACAAGAAGTGTTTTCTTCGTATAAGGAAAATTATTCGATATGTATGTGTATTCAATGAATTACAAGACTTACTGTCGTTCTAAATATTTCTTAAAAAAGTACAAGTAATCTTTTTTTATAACTTAAATTATAAACGTATTTTTTATTTCAAAAAAAGTTATACGAGACAGTTAGATAAAATTGATGATTACAGAAAGAATTATTTTTCATATCATGTCAAAGGTTTATCATTCATCTTAAACGTTTGTAAAGCTGCTTAAAAGTTTAACTATAGATCGTCATTTATAAACTAACACTAGGTCGAGATTTATTTCTTTTTCATCTCAATAGTTCATTTCTCTACTGAAATATTCGAGGAAATACTTAAAGTCTATTCATAACGTCTACTCTTTTTTGTTCTTTGATTTAAAAATACTATTGTCATCTGAAGGATTTATAAAGATTTATGTTGGTGCTCATATTCAACAATTGTTTTACGAATTTTCATATATGGGATGAAAGACATTAGGTTTTCTCTTCCCTAAGTGACTTAAATGTTAATGAAATACTGTGATTATGAATTTGCTCAAACTATCATTCATATAACTTACATATTTGAATTGATGTGTGTGTCAGTCGAATAGGCTTAACGATTTTTAATATTTTGATAATATGATTTAAACAAAAGATTTGTTAACATTTATATCTATAGCCAGGCGCAAAAAAAAAGAACAATACGCAAACTTTTACATTGATTTATGATTGTTTATCGAACAATTTAGAATATGTTAACAAATTTAACTTTTCAAAGAACACGACAAACGATAATATAGGGAAAACAGATTCTCAATTATATTGCATTTCCTAAAGTCATGTGTTAAATATTAAATCGATTAAAATAGGATAACAGAATAATTGACTCTAACATCGTTGTATTCTTCTAGTAATGATGAGAATACTAAGGTGTGGGTGTGGGCACTGTTGTCCATTACATATTCACACCGTTATTGTTCACTGAGCGATTGGGTGGACAACTTCACGTTGCATCTTCAGTCACGATGCAGCTGGTCTGATCCTGACTTCGGCTTTGATTCCAACCTTGCTAAGTCTAACTTTTTAGGTTTGGTTCTAGTTTTAAGTTAACATTATCAATAGATTTGTCATTGATCTTGTTCATTTACGCACTTTTTTTCGAATCTCTAGATTGTTTTTGTTTTCTGTTTAATAAAAAGAACCATGGACAATCTCTTCTGTTGATTATCATTTTCTCTGGTGACAGACAAAATAGAGCAAGAACGTAATTATCTATATCATCAATTTCAATCAAATACTATTTAGAATACAGTTGAATTTACAAAAGAAAACACTTTCTTTAAATCAATGTGACAATAGAAAAAAATGTATCTAAAGGAAAAATAATATTAATAAACAATCATAAAATCAACAAATTTCATTTCAATTATTCAATAATCAATGCATATAAATGTTCATCAATATCTTGTCCATTTTTATATGCATGTTTACGTAATACTCCTTCAAATACAAAACCACATTTTTCTACCACTCGCATTGATGCTTTATTCCATGGAAAAATTTTGGCTTCAATCCGAATCAAATTTTTCCATTCGTTTTTTATTATTTCAATTATTTTTTTTACAATTTTAGGCATTAAACCACGGTGCCAATATGGTTCACCTAACCAATATCCAATTTCTGTTCGTCTTTCATTTTTAATTGAACGATGAAGACCACATCCACCTATCAATTCATTGTTTGTCTGTAAGCGAATATTAAACATACGTGTTAAATTTAATGAGCCTGATTTTATTTTTTGAATAAATTCTTCACCATCCTTTGTTGTATATGGATATGGTGTTGTTAGTGAATTAGCATGTAATATTGGGTTGTTAAAATATTTAACAAATGAAGGAATATCTTCATTTGTTAATAGATCGGTTATATATATTTCATCATCAATATCATAACGATTTGATGCCATTATATTCTGAAAAAAAATTTACTCTCAATTAGGTCAAAATACAAAGTATGAGTTTATTTATATATGATATCAAAAGAAGAAGAAGAACAAGATGATGAAATGTTACGCGAGTCATTTTTACGTATTTCTTTAGCTTTTCTATCGTTAGTTTAATGTGATAACAGTTTGCAAACAAATTCAATTGATGTTGCCAGTCCTTGACTCGATATTAAATGATAGCTATTAATTTCACCATAGACAACAGGTGCATCGAATTTAATTGATTTAAATTTATTTTTAAATGAATTAGCTGTTTCAGGATAACATGTTATATTATGTTTCCGTGCATTTTTATCAGCATCATAAAAATGAGTACTTAATGCTATTGAACCAGCAAGCATAACTGTGACTGATTTGTTTGTTACGTAATGAGCAACAAAAATAGCACCTGCTTTTTTACATGACGTTATCTTTATTGTACCTTTACCAACCACATAATAAAAAGCAAAGTCTAGTATTTTATTATTCATGAGTTATATAGATTATATATACTGCCAGGTATAATAACAGCATTAAAATGTTCTCCTTGAACATCGTCTATATAAATCAGGTACTATTTGAATATTATTAGAATACGCTATTGGTTTTTTATCGTTTTTTCAACACTACATAATTTTAAGTCAATACCACCTAGTCGTAATATGCTAGCAGCAATCACTTCTTCAGTATCTTCTGGACCATTAGAATGTATTTAGCAAAGATATCTGTTTATGGCATTTATAGGCTCTTATTTAATGAAAGTTTAGTTCTTGTGAACAATAAGACATGTACAACCTAATTTTATATTAAATGAAAGCTTGTATAACTAGGATGTGGATGTGAGTAGCTATTTCAATCCCACCCACCCACTCTTGTTAAGATTAAAGTCACCATAATACAATCGATCTGTTTTTAAAAACTCCTGTATGAGTCAGAATGTTTACTCAACTTTTGGTTTCTATACGTGCTTGTTTAAAACGACGATACGGTAGCGACATTTTTTTTCAGATGACGTGCAATTCTATGATTCACCATAATTTCGACATCGAATCTCAACAGTTTTTCTTTCAGAATTTTGATAACTTGTTAGGCGTAGACGTGAACATCTTGTGTGCAGTTAGCAAACTTAAAAAAATAAGAGAAATTACAAGTTTTTATTAGTGACAGAAACATTCCTATCACAAATTTCGGCGATTTTCTCGATAGTTGAAATGCATTTAGTATTTTTTCATCTTGGAAAAAAATCATTTTAACAATTACAAAGTTTTGTTTTTATTAAATAATCATAGAATATTACACTTCTTTGTTTGTTTTCTAATATTCGAATTAATTTCTAAATTAAATAGTTGGCGTCTACAAGTCTCAACTGACATTAATTCCATATAAGCTTGTTTTTTTTGTACTATGCATTATGAAAAACAAGAAAATGATATGCGTTGCTAATTTTAGTAATCGATCAAGCTTTGAAAAAGTTACAGAAATTATATTGACAAAGTGATTATCATGATTTTTTATCTCCAAATTTTTAGTAGGTGATTCGTTTTTATCGTGTAAAATGGCAGACTGACTACAGAGAGAAGATTCTAACGAATTAGTCATTTCTACAATATAAGTTAAGAATTTAATGAGACTATAGTCAATACCAAGTTATATGTCAGAGTTTCTTTTAGATAACAATCTAGTCGATTCGTACAGAATGAGTATGGCTGTCGCATTCAGTCACAAGCACATCCTGTTATACTCCCAAAAACCATTCTAAAGTGACAACTTTATTTGAGAAAATGCGTTTAGATTTTCCTCAATTTTTGGTGTTGGTCACAATTTGTCATGTCATTTTTCACATTTGGATTCTGGAGAAAAACCGTCAATACTGTTTTTTTTTCGTAGATAGTTGAGCAGAAATCTTTTATTGAAAAGAATTAGACCGGCTGAGTTGAAAGGAAAAGAAGAAATATTTAAGAATACAAACAGTGAAATTTATTCTGTCCCATCCGATACATGACTTTGCTTTCGTTGTTGTTTAATATAGTAGGAAAAGAACAAATTATTCTTGCTTATTCATTTAAAATACGCCTTTTTCTGATTTTTTTTCATTCTAAACGGTACTTTTTAGTCAGACGAAGTCGATAACAAGACATGGTTTTAAGCATCCAAATGCACGCATTTCATTTTTTGAAAGTAAACATGTTTCTTCGAGAAAAAGAAACAAATTGAAAGATGATACCTATGAACTTAGTTTTTTTTTTAATTAAAAAAATTTGTTTCAAGAGTAAAACGCCCACATTATAAATTTTTCAAAGGTTGTTAGATCATATGGTGTTTTTTTTTGCTGAATTTTGAAGGCGTATATAATTAAAACTTCCACTCGAAACTATTTTTTTTCTATTTCTATTTTTGTTGAATGAAGTCTGATATTATAATCATAAATACACAGAGGATGCGGGTGTGAATGTGAAAGTGGGTTTGGGTATTCATTTAAATGAGACTCACACCACCACCCCACACCCTTCAAGATAAAAAACAGAATCGACAAAAAAAAAAAGTAACTATTTGCTTTTACTATTTGACACGCAATATATTTGTAGTGATGAAACCGTTTTTCAAACTCAAACTATGTCGACGCGTATTTAGTTACATTTCTTTTGCTTAAAAAGGCTAAATAAAAAATCGGACTGTATGCAGCTGTTGAAACTGCGCTGTTATTCAGTATAGCAAATGTCAATAATACTGTTTTGTTGCTATGATATTTAAGAACAAGTAAAAGAGAAAAAAATAGACTTCAACACCTCAGACAATTTCAAGGACATAATGAAACTTTGAGATTAAAGCCTTTACTCTTTTTCTTTCCGAATCCTTTCTCATATTCAATATGACTACAGCATTATATAAATACATCACATCCCAACTTTTATCAGTTGCAATAAGAAGATGTATGTGTGGGTGTGGGTGTTAGAGTGAAATGAAATGAACCAGTTAGTCAGGTCTTACCTCACACCCACACCCAATGCTGATAAATAACGAGATGCTTGCTGCAAAGCACCTCTAATAACATTCTGAGGTATATGACGCGAATGAGCAGCTTTGAATGGTACAACATAAGGTTCAGATGCTTGTTTCTAATGGACCGATTTGATAAGGTTTTCATCCTGACCGCTTATTTGAACATCAAGAGAAGAAAGACAACTGCCAATCTAATAAATTAATTTAATATTTGGACAATATTACTAAGCTTCTTCTAACATTTGACGAACTTTTTCAATGGAATCTTTTAATGTTAAAAAGATATCATCGATATAGCTATGATAGAGATAAGGGTATGGGTGTTGTGTTCATTCAAACTGATCGACACCCAGACGCATCCACACTCACACATCCCTCCCATATCCACCCACATCTACTCCTCCACCTCCACCTCCACTTCCACACCCTCATATCCACACACTCGTGACACTCAGAATCAAGGGGAAAACGGCGGATTTCCGGGATTTCCGTGGGATTTACGGAACATTAATAATAATAATTTGCATTTCAGAAATTCATATTGGATCTCTGGGATCTTAATTATAGTTCTAAAAGTCTCATATGAGTCAGGGTCAGGGCTTCATTGCTCTATAATACAGTTTAAAAAGCGGTATTAAACTATTGAGGCAAAATATTGTTTATCTTGAAAGTTCTAGACATTTAGCTTAATGAGATGAGTGAAAAGTCGATTTTTAAAATAGAGCTGGTTACTTTCATATTTTTCTCGCAAAATACATTAGGCAGAATAACAAAGAGCAACAAGACATTAGACAAATCAATGAGTAATAGAAGAGATACACCGTATCTAGTGAATCTACAGCATCTCATCTGTAACTGTTTATTCATTTAGTAATCTGATGGCAGAATATGCCTGAGTCGCTTAGATAGCAGCGCAATCGTACTTTCTGACATAAAACAAGAGGCTTTCTATATATGACTATATTGTTTTTGACATCAATTTCGACACCAGAGAAGAGTGTTTCAGAGTGAAGAAAAAAGTCTCTTCGAGACTCTTATGAGCTGAAGTTAAGATTTTTGGCTAACTGACAAAGAAGAGAAGTCATAAATTATGTCCTACGATCAGTTATATTTGTCTGATTTCAATAAAAAAAGAAACATAAGAGTTTACGTATTAGTTTGAGTCTTGATCCAATAAATTGTAATGGCTTTCGTCATATGAAACAACACGGAGTTTTCTCAGGTCAGACTTGCACAAATGATCCACTTAGTGTTATCGCAGATCCTCTCATTTTCTTCTCAGCAAACTAAACATCAAAGCCCGAAAGAAGGTGTTAAATCAGATCATAACTTTGATGAATAGCCTTTCTTAAATTATCATACACGAAACGATTATGAGATAATGTGGAGATTGACTGTTTGAATGCAGTCTTTTTCTTGTCCTTCGTGACACTGTGAGCTTTAATGAAATTTTCAATGCACTGCCATCGAAAGGGAAACAAAACAGACTTTACACGTGTTGGATTGCCTGAACTTTGCTCAAACACTTGGAATTTTCGAGTTCTGAATTTCTAGTCTTTGTATTGCCTAGTTGTCTGGTTTCTTCCTCGAAGATTCTTTCAGAGGCTCCAAGTTTTCCTTGAATTATAAAGGTCAAATGATATTTTTCTTCCATCGCAATAAATTAGTGCGAGCAATATTAAATTCAGACATATTTTCTCATAAGATAAGAATATATATCTTATTTACTTCCTTCTTGGCATTCTCAAGGGTAAAAAAAAAGAATTAGTAGTAATAGTAGTAATTGATTCATAAATCGCTGCTAATAATCATAATGTGGAACTGATCATTATTGTTCTGAATAGAGTGAACATTAATGCGTCGACCTAAGTATTTGACCATATAGTGAGCAGTGGATGTTTCGCATAAGCCATTGCAACACGAGCAGCGTCGAACTTTATACAATCCTCCAACTGTTTCAAATTATGCCGTTAAGGGTATTTTTTTACTTCTAATGCTCTCATCTACATATTAAAAGTCATGTCTTTGAGACTAGAATAAGGTTTTGTGGATAAGATTATAGAAAAGGTGCTATACATCTACACTCAGAATAGTGCTAATACATGCACTAGCACGAGACGGATCACATGACTTATTTTTTCAATCACTTTATAAAAAGAGCTCTGTTCCTAAATTCAAATTCTATTCTGAAACATATAACATTAGATATGTAAATGCAAGCGTTAGAAGAAAAAAACACTCAACAGCATGATTCGAAACAGTTGAAGGATTGAATAAAGTTCGATGCTACTTGTGCTGCTATGGTTTATGCGAAACACAGACTACTCACTAAATGATCTAATACTTATGTCGCTGCATTAATATTCTCTCCATTCAGAACAATAATGATCAGCTCCACAGGATTCAAAATAGCAGTGACTTATGAATGAATTACTACTAATTCAAATTTTTTTGCTCTAGAATTAGAACTACTAACTTCACACCGTATTTT